CCTCTCGAACTGCGCCGCGCGATTTCTCACGAAGTGGTCTGCGCAAGCTGCATTGTTCCAGGCTGCCGCGCGCAAGTTGCTCTCTGCAAGCTGCTGCACGCAAGTGCTCTGTGCAAGTTGCTCTGCGCAAGTGCTCTGAGCAAGTTTCTCTGCGCAAGTGCTCTGCGCCAGTTGCTCCGTGCAAGCGCTTTGCGCATGTGCTCTGCGCAAGTTGGTCTGTGCAAGTTGCTCTGCGCCAGTTGCTCCGTGCAAGCGCTTTGCGCATGTGCTCTGTGCAGGTTGCTCTGCGCAAGTGCTCTGAGCAAGTTGCTCTGCGCAAGTGCTCTGCGCCAGTTGCTCCGCGCAAGCGCTTTGCGCATGTGCTCTGTGCAAGTTGGTCTGTGCAAGTTGCTCTGCGCAAGTGCTTTGTGCTCTGTGCAATTCGCAGAGCGCAAGTTGCTCTGCGCAAGTGACTCTGCGCAAGTTGCTCTGCGCAAGTGCTGCCGGAGCTGTGGGAATGTACTTCGCGTACTATTGTTGTACTTAAAAGTTGCGATTTTCCAGCCGGGGCTGCAGGAGCACGCTCCGCGTACTACGTTTGTACTTAAAAGCTGCGATTTTCAAGCCGGAGCTGCCGCGGACCAGGGGGGAATCGAACCCGCGACCGCAGGATTGCGAAAGCAGGCGCGCCAGCCACGAGACAATTTCGCGAGCAACAAATTCGCACGGCGCCACAGCGAGAGCGCTTCGACACGCACGATCCCCGCCCGCAGAGCGTCGCGCGCGCATGTTAGAAATCGTAAAAAGTCCTCAGTTTTTGTTCCTCGACCACGCGAATCTTCGCAGAGGGTCGCGCGCGGCTTGCAGAAATCGTAAAAAGTCCTCAGTTTTTGAACCTCGACCACGCGAATCTCCGCAGAGGGTCGCGCGCGGCTTGCAGAAATCGTAAAAAGTCCTCAGTTTTTGAACCTCGACCACGCGAATCTCCGCAGAGGGTTGCGCGCGGCTTGCAGAAATCGAAAAAAGTCCTCAGTTTTTGAACCTCGACCACGCGAATCTCCGCAGAGGGTCGCGCGCGGCTTGCAGAAATCGTAAAAAGTCCTCAGTTTTTTGAACATCGACCACGCGATCTCCGCAGAGGGTCGCAATCCCGAGCGATGATCAAACTCCCGCCCCGGCGCCTTAGAAACCCAAACTAACTTACATAGCTGCTTACGCCGAAGCTCTAGGCAAGCTCTACCTAACCTTGGCTCTGTGCCACTTGGCTCTGTGCCACTTGGCTCTGTGCCACTTGGCTCTGTGCCACTTGGCTCTGTGCCACTTGGCTCTGTGCCACTTGGCTCTGTGCCACTTGGCTCTGTGCCACTTGGCTCTGTGCCACTTGGCTCTGTGCCACTTGGCTCTGTGCCACTTGGCTCTGTGCAACGTGGCTCTGTGCCACTTGGCTCTGTGCCACTTGGCTCTGTGCCACTTGGCTCTGTGCCACTTGGCTCTGTGCCACTTGGCTCTGTGCCACTTGGCTCTATACACTTGGCTCTGTGCCACTTGGCTCTGTGCCACTTGGCTCTGTGTGCCACTTGGCTCTGTGCCACTTGGCTCTGTGCCACTTGGCTCTGTGCCACTTGGCTCTGTGAAACTTGACTTGGCTCTGTGCCACTTGGCTCTGTGTAACTTAGCTCTATGTACTTGGCTCTATGTAACTTGGCTCTATGTAACTTGGCTCTGTGCAACTTGGCTCTGTGCAACTTGGCTCTGTGTAACTTGTCCAAGAGCCCCGCACGGAAGAACCCTTCGCGATGCTTTCGGGAATTCCAAAAAGGCAAGTTGCCTCCAGCTTGACCTTCATCTTCGAGATAATTCGAGATAGTTCGAGATAATTCGAGATAATTCGAGATAAAATAAGATAGCCAAAAACCCCCAACTCTAAACCCCATGAATCTGGTACCCGTAAAGTTGTTTGGGATTCAACCATTTCTGGATCCCCACCTTCGGATGCATCAATGATTTCCGTTGTACGCCCTCGGCTGATGTTGTCAGGATTAACCGGACACTCCTTTGTTCCCGTCGGTGTGAACAGCGCCTTGCGAGGCGTGATGTGCACACGGATGAGCTGCTTGTTCTTCTTGTCGAGTATCCAGTGATCCTGCTTCAGAGACCCAATAGTTTTGGGAGTCGCTGTCTCTTCCTTTGTTTTGGTTTCCTTGCATGCACAGACTTGTTCACTCACTGAGTGTTCCCTCGATGGGAATTGGATGCTGTCATCATCATCGTAAACGTAGTTGGTGAGGCCCTTGATGGCAATCTCTCCATGGGATTTCACTCTTGCTACTCCAGCACCATGAGAGACTCCTCGAAGTAGACCGTCTTGTAGGCGCGTGCCCCGCACGGAAGCCTGTTCCGGCCGCACTGTACCAGGAGATCCCCTGCGGCACGCAACAGCGTGGGACCGGAGCCGTTGCTCAAACGGAACACCTTGGATACCTCCCGCGTGGCCAGCTATCCAAGAGCCTCCTCGTTCGCGATTGCCGGCGCCAGCGTGCTGCTGTCCAGCTTTGAGGCCAGCTCTGCGGTGACCCGGTCGTCCAGGGACTGGATGGCCGCTGCGTTGTTGCCGGAGGCTGTGCTTGGCTACCTTACCTGGGCATGAAGTGAGGGAAACTATCCTTCACTTATGATACCGCTCGCTGTATCGTGGTTATGACGAATTGACCGATGGCGTCGGTCAAAACGCTTGGGACACCTCGGCCTGTGGCACATGATGAATGTCGATGTTGGTACTGCAAGGAGGCGTCGTATGATACCTGAGGTGCAAGGTCCAGTTTACCTTGGCTGTCTCTCCATTTGCAAAAGTGAACTTGGTCTCGGCCGGGATGTACGAGTAGGAGATGAGGTTTTCATAGGTTCGATGGCCTGGGTAAAACGCTGGATTGCATGCCAGCTGCCCCTGGGTCTGGTACGTCCGTTGTCCAGGATCGCATAGGTCGGATTGTGCTGCGGGTTGATGACAGGCGCCATCAGCTTTGTTGCCAAAAGGCTTTGTTTTGCTGTCGCCGTCATTGACTGTTCAGAAACTGCATCAGCTTGGATCAGCTTCTCATGGACGGCCGCCTCCTTCTCATGCTGCTCATATGCGTCATGGAATGTCATCATCGCTTGTCCGGTGCTGGATGACTGATGGGATGAGTACCAGCCTTGTTCACTCCAATTCCAGGATGGATCCCAATCCTGATCTGTCCAGCCGGCGTGGTGCAGTCGGCTGTATGGCGGCCCCGTCTTCTCTGCAATGGCTGCAAACGTCTTGGATTTTCCTTTTTCTTGTCCGCCTTTTCCTTCGCCATTGTCATAGGATGGATAACCGTTGTTTCCATCATCGGGATATTGGACTTGCGATTTTCCTTTCTTTCCCTTCTTTCCTTTGCCTTTTCCCTAATATGCCTGGTCGTCTTGAATCTGACATTCCGCCCAGACACTTTTCTCGCAATACACGCATCGTTCTCCTCGAGTACCCAAAGTGTCTCCTCATCGTTGGTGGACATGAAGCCTTCTTGTCCTTCTTCGTCTTCCACCCAAAAGCCTTCTTCTCCTTCGTACTCTCCTTGCTCGAGAATATAGAAGGTGTTGTTCCGATTCCTCCTGGAGGTCGGATGGATGGATCTTGGATGGATGTTCTGGTCGTGATGATGAGGTCGTGGTACTGCGCTTTCATCATTTCGTAAGTATAATTCTCAAGCGAAATGTTTACACTTGAATAGGCTTCTGCGAAGCCTTCTCCATCACCACAATTGAGACTCACTGCCAGGGGTACCGCATCCCCGAAGAGAGCTGGTACCTTGTGGTAGAAGAGAATGTATTTGTAGGTCCCTGGATCTATTCTGCAAGAGAGTCCAATATGCAAATAGTGGAGGAACTGAGAATGGAAGTCCCTGGTTGTGTAAATGTGAAAACCTGCAAGGCGCCCTGCTAGGTCCTTTTGTAATGCAGGATGCAACGGTACTACAAGATAGGGCCTTGAGCCAAAATGGTATGTGTGTGGTGCAGGTCAATTGCGAAGCAAAAGCAACACAGGGGGGTGGGCGGACAGAACGTACTTTGAGCCGCCCTTCAGCCCTCCCAGCAAAGACTTGGAGGGCCAGGCGCATCTTCGACTTTGCTGGCATGCCTTTCAAGGCCTGCCAGGCGCTGCTCAGGTTTGCTTTGGCTTGGTCGTCGATAGCAGTGGGAGCGCTCCTGTTCACCCCGCGTCTATCTTTGGGCTTCGGGGTTTTCGGGCGCTGTGCGTGTTGTTTCGACCGACAAGTGCTTGTGGGGCAAGGAGTTGCGCTAAGCTACTACTTTGCTCCTTGGCAGACTGCCAGCATGGCTGACGCAAACTTGAAGATTAGCGACTCGGGTAGGTGCTGTCATGGCCATCGCACAGGAAGTTGGTTGGCCTCTGTTGACACAGCCGTTGCAAACCTTGGGTGTGCCCTTCTTGCCCATGGCAAGCAGGTCTTGAGGAGGCGACAAGAGCTGCACTTTTCGATAATTTGTTTGCAGTTTGCATGTTGTCGCGGGCGCGCGCCTTACATTGGAGATAGGTTTAGAGTTAGTTTTTGTGCTGGGAGCACAGCAGAAGGCATGGACACTCTGTGCGCAAAAACTCGAAGACAAAGCGTAGCGCATCATAGAAAGCCAGCGTGCCCAAAGCGTGAAAGCTAATGCGTGGCAGCTCCGCAGGCGCGTGGCACAGAGATACGGTGTGGCAGCTCCCAGCACAAGACAAGTGCACATTTGTGGCTTTCGGGCCGGTATCATACCGAACATACTGACAATTACTGACATCTGGAGATGCTTTCGGCCTGGTTTCCTCCTTGTGACATGTGATGCACAGGTGGGATGCATGCTGGTGCAAAGAGCGCCAACTAGCTCAGGACAAAGTACAGGTTCATGAATGGGGGTTGATCAAGAACCGTTCATCCCCAAAACCATGGGTAACGTTACCATTATCATTTAGTGGCGCCAATTTCGAGTGCTGTATTTTTCAATTCATAGGTGCCCATCTACCTCGCCATTCGGCGAAGAGCCAAGTAAAACTCGGGCTCACAGAAGCCACTGCCCCGTCTGGGGGTAGCACCTCGGCGCAACTTGCCCGTCTGTGGCTGGAAGCTCATCAATTGTCCAAGCATCTATGCCATCCAGTCGACCCCATCTAATCCCCATCTCCCGCGATTTGACTTATCTTGAATTTCCTTCAGTTCATGTCCAACCTTTCATGATATATGTCACTTCTGTTTTGCTTCTCTTTTCTCTTCAACTCTCGCTTTCTCTTGAGCTGGGCGCAGCATGTGACTCGGCAGGGTGCCAGTGCCAGGTCCGGAGCGTGACCGTTCCTCGACTCCAATCGTGAAAGCGAGGAAAAGTGAGGAGAAACTAGAGAAAGAGAACAAAAGAAGAGCAACCAACTGCAAAAGAAGGGCAAACAAGAAAGGTAAAAATGGACAAAAATGGGGTATAACGAGGAAATACCATGTAGCGGGATATGGGGATCTCAGGCCGCCACAAGTCGGAAGTGGCTGGAGGTCAGCCTCTGACACGTTTCCAGATCCAAACCGGATAAGCTGCCCGACGCACTTGATGCTCCTGCCCAAGCGCTGACTCCCTCTCAATCCATTTGAAACTTGCTGGGGCTCCTCCATGTGGATGCAGCTTGGGACCAAACACGTGTGCCTTGCAATTTGCAAAAAAATGCAGCGGGCACAGCAAATCCATCAGCCGGCCGTCATCTGCGGATGCTCCGCCAATGACAACCCAGCCTTGGTTGCTTGTTCTGGCTTGGAGATGTGCAAGTATCTGAGCTGGCTGCCCACATGGTCGGCGCTCTTCTTAAAGGATTCACCTGGAAAACGTACAAGAAGACTCCCGCCAGCACGCCAACACAGCCTGTCCTGTTTGACCCTCTCATCTGCACCTTGGTGCGCACGCGGCAAGCCAATAAATGCCGATAAATGCTGCACATGCAAGCGTGCCTGTGCTCCGGGATACCTGGAGCAGTTGCAGTCCCACTGTCCACTTCGCAATGCGCAACGCGCAGCGGGCTGCCTTGGATTCCTCGCGTTGCTCGATTCGCTCGACCTCAGCCCTCAGCACCGGCAAAGGCCTGCAAGGCGACGCAATGTGAAGATTCACGCAAAGCTCCACGCATCTCCTGCGCGTGATATCCAGGGACATCACATGACATCATGTGATTTTGTGTGACATCGTATTGTTGAATGCATGGTTGGTTCCTTGAGGTCTCGAAAGCAAATGGCATCGTGGCTCTGATCGACTAATGTTGACCCAATGAATAAAACAAACTCTAGCTGATTAATAGGGGGGTGTCCCCTATTCAGTGGGGATTCAGCACTGTGCGAGGGAATGACACCTATTAATAAGATGGGCTTATGTGTCCAGGGCACCGGCGTTGGGGGAGAACGAGGCCATGAAAAGACTAAAGACTCCACGAAACGTCGCTGCGAACAACCCATGCAAGCGACGTAAAGCACGGGTTTTCAAAGCCAAGACACCAAGAGCTAAGTGAGCAAAGGCAACATGAATGTAGATTCGGATAGCAAAGGTTGCCTCTAGCGTATCAAGCACGCAGTCATCCCGATGAACCAATGCCATTGCCCCCAATGCACGCGGTAGCTCTAGCCAACAGCTGCCAAGGTGCCTGCAGGCACTGCGCAGCCGTAGGCGGGCAGCCCGCTCGCGTTCAATGCCCACCTTCGTGCGCATGCGCCATTGAATTGTTGCTCACCCTTCACGCCAAGCTATTGGACCCCAAGCGCACTCCCATGTCGGAAAGCACTGAGGCACTGGCTTGCCATGTCGCGTGCCCCGTCTGGGAGAACAACTCCGGCCTGGCGCTATGATACTAGGATGCACTGTTACGCAGCACACGCATTCCGGAGAGTGTCACCATGTGCAAAACGTGCCCACACAACATGCGCAAACAGCGTGGCCCATCTTAGACAGTGGGACAACACCCGCATATCGAACGCCAAAGGAAAACACTCGTGACATCAAGAAGCCAAAGGCACGGCATGTTCAGTGTCTCCGCGGGCTCGAGCCAAACCAAAGTTGGAACACGCGAGCTTGCCGGACACTACATGCTTCAATGCAAGCGAACTCGGCCCTCACGCAGCAGTCGCAATTTTCATTCAATTCCAAAGCTCTGGCAAGGAGGAGTCTCGAATAGAGTCAAGGGGAACTGGCTGCCAACAAGTAGCTGTGCAGCTGAGGCGCCGGGTGACCTTCGACGTCCAGGTTTATTCCCATGTGTCCACTTGCTCGTTTCATATGCCTGAGCCGAAACGCTCCTGTCAAATGTCCGTCATTTCGCTGACTGCTTTGAATCAGGCATGGATGCACACCCATGCCCCTTTTTTGCGCCCCCCCCCCCCCTCATTTTCGCTTGCGCGCCGCATCAAAGGACTTCTGCAAAGATTTTGCCGTCCTTGCTCTCGGTGATCCAACCACACTGGCCACCTCTTGTTTTGACATACATTCGCCGACATCCTGCTGCCTCTTTTGGCCATTCGAGCACTTCGACCACGTCTCCAGGTCTCAGCGTGCCCTCTGCCTGCTCTGCTTGCTGCGGCTCTGCCATCTCGAAAGCGTCAGTCAGGCGCGAAGAGACCATGACTTTGAAGAGGTGCGCGCCCTGCCTCAGGTGTGAAAGTGTGACCCACCCCTCCACGCCATCCTCGGTGCGGCATTTGACTCGGCTCACGCTTTCCAAGCCCTTCACTTCCTTGTGCTTCGGGGCCTCCATTTCCACAGCTTCCTTTTCCTGCTCCTCCTTCTCCTCCTTCTCCTCCTTCTCTTCCCTCTCTTCCATCCCAGCCTGCTCCTTCTCTTGTTCTTTTTCCGCCTCTCGGTTTTCCGCTACATGCCTTGCCTCTCCATTCTCCGTCACCTCAAGCAGCTCTAAGATGTCTTTGGGCTTCAGCAGTCGCAGTGTCTCCGTGGCGGACTCCTCTCGCGTAAGTGACGTCTCCACGGCCACAGCTACAAACTCCTTGGCCAAGCGTGCCCACACCTGGCAATGCAAAACCTAAATGGCCCAACCCTTCAAGCTCCACTTGATGGGGGTCCTGTGGGTTTGCGTTGTTCGCGTTTGTATGTGGTGCGGATTTGTTTTGGGATTTTGGCTCATTTTCTTGTCGGATTTCTTTTTTCGTTTTCATCTTGGCCAGTAAAATGTCGTGTTTTACATTTTCTCGCAATATTGACGACAACACCCCCAGAATTGTTTTCAACACCCCCCGCGTGTCCGACCAACATCCCCAGCATCACCAACAAATCGTGAATAAAAACTCCAAAAAGTAGTCGGCGGGTTGACGGGTCGAAAAAATGATGATTCAAATAGGGGGGCATTTCACCCCGGTGAAAATCTAAAAAGTAGCGGGCGGGTTGGGGGCGGGATGATGTTTGCAATTAAACGGGGAGTGAGGTCCCAAACCGGGGTGTGGGAGCAAGGTCATGGTCTATCGTAGGTCCGTGGTTCTATTCCACACGATGATCCAGTATGTCAATGGCGGATGGAGTGTACATGGAAGTTCCTGGTCGGATTGTCTTGTGGGTATAACCTGTAAGCGGTCCGCAAGCAATCCCTTTTCTCTGTGTGTACAGTGGCAATAAAGAGTAGAAGAGGGGCCTTGAGCCAAACGGTTGCATGGAGATCAACATAAGAATCATATACAAAACAGACACAAGTTTCTTTTGATCTCCAGCAATGAATTGCTATTTCAACGCTGGCTTCACGGCCTTGACCCTAGCCAAGTGAAACTTCTTTGAGTTCCATAGCCTAGTCTATATAGATTTGTGACAGATATTGTAGATCATGTCAAAACTGAAAACTAATCCTTTTGTCTTGGGTGAGTTGCTTCGTCTGCGATCAACTGGAAAAGGTTTGTACACATGCGGATACCTATTTGTATCAAGATGGTGCGTGGATACCTAGACGTATCAAAACGGTGTGAAACTATTGGCCTCTCACTACATAACCTTGTCGATGGTGAGGACCAATCTGTCGGAATTCGTGGTGTGCGTGTTTGGTGTTCCCTCTTTCGAATTGTAGATTGACACACTGGCATGTAACTCAGACCAAAGCAGGTCAGGTTCATGCCCAGGAAGACTGAATGGCAGCTCATAGTCCTTCCATGGTAGCCGCTGGATGCCTTATTGTAACTCCAGGATGGCCATGCCGTCTCAGTCTTCTTGCGGTAGTACTTGTTGAACTTCATTCTGAGTCATACGAGCCATTCAGGAACATCTCGTTGGTGATGTGCTTGGATCAGTCTGCTGATGTCACCTTGTAATCGGTAACCATGGACAGTCTGTCATTCTCCATTTTCTCCAGTTGATCCTTACTCAGCGCATTCAACTGCTGCTGCATGTCTGTCTTGCTTGCCCCGGCCGACTGTAAACGTAACCATATAGTCTGGAAATGATCGAGCATACACGGAGCCAGTTTTCATGTAGAGGATATGTGGAAGGATGGCCTTGACGGTGCATGTAGATTCCAGTGTGCGGTCTGGTCTGGCAATGGGATGGTGTCGTTCCAGGTCATCCGGGCATTGCTTCACGAGGTAGTTCAGAAGGCAATGAACGTATTCCCATCTCCACATCAGCTATGGATATGAAAACTCCAATTGTCGCGCATGGAATTATAGCAGACCCGAAGATATCATGCTGATCAGATAAGCTGAATGCTGATAAGCTGATAACATCCAAGATAGATTCAGCAGCTAGCCATTGCTTGAAGAGGGTTGCGCCGTTGATGTTTCCACGGTTTCTTGGGCCAGGTCTTGTGATGCGGCGATTGTCGTAGCCCTCCTTGGGATTGGAAGTCGGATGTCGGATGGTCGTATTCAGGGTTGTTGTTGTTGCTATCGTCCGCATTAGCGACCACCGAATTTGCACGTTTTAGTGGTGTTCCGCTGTTTGGGGGGGGGTGGGAGAATGTGTACGTTTTCCAGCCCAGTGCGAAAGGGGATGGGTGTGTGTGTGTGTTTTTAATTTAAACCTTGATCTCCATGCAACATTTGGCTCAAGGCCCTTTTCTTCTACATAGCCTTTACAGACTCATGATGCATTGATAAAAGGCTTGCAGACCGCTTCGCAGGTATGGATTTCCTGCGGAATAGATCCAGAGACCACATATACGATCCTTTACTACCACAAGGTCTCCGTTCAATTGTCAATTGTGGTAGCGGAGCGGGTTTTCCGCAAAATCCAGGAGCAATGTCATCCGATGGAGAAGGCTTCATGGAAGCGTATTCCAGTACAGCCCGGTCATCCGGCTGTACTGAAGAGACACTCAATTCATCAATGACCGCCCAGCCGCCGCCATCTACGGCGGAAAAGTCAGCTGGTTTGAAGAACTCGTAGATGATTGGACAACCTTCACAACGATCGAAGCATCCAAGCAAGAACCTCTCCTCAAGAGCAGACTCATTGGAGATGCTTACATGTGCAAGGCAGTCCTTCAGAACGACCGATTGCAAGATCCTGAAGAAGGAGCCAACTACTCCGCTGAAGCAGTACTTCCTGAAGGGTACCACGAACGTGTATCTCTACAGGCTCCTCAGTTTTTTCAACCACCGGAGGAGAACAGCGAGGCCCTCTCAAACATATCACACTTGAGAATTACACTTATGAGATGCTGAAGACGGAATACCACGACCTTTTCATCACGACCAGAACTTCAATCCAAGATGCATCCACCAGACCTCAAAGGAGGCAACCGAAACAACATTTTCTTCATCATCGAGCAAGGTGAATACGAAGGAGAAGAAGGCTTTTGGGTTGAGGATGAAGAAGGACAAGAAGGATTCATGGCGAACAATGATGAAGAGACGTTTTGGGTCCTCGAGGAGAACGATGCGTTCATTGCGAGAAAGGTGTCTAGGCGGAATGTCAGATTCAAAAGGAATCATGGAAAATGAAACAACAAAGGCAGTCACCTACGAGATCCTTCAGTTCTGGCGGGAAGGCCAATATGGCCAATGAAAGCAATGATCCCTACGACCAGGCATGTTAGGGAAAAGGCAAAGGAAAGAAAGGGAAGAAAGGAACATCAAAATTCCAATATCCCTACGACGGGAACAAAGGTTACCCATCCTTTGACAATGGCAAAGGAAAAGGCGGACAGGATAAAGGAAAATCCAAAACGTTCGCAGCCGTAGCAGAGAAACCGGAGGAGCATCCTGCGATACAGCAAGCTGCTGAACTCCCAGAGCCTACATATGCTGGTTGGACCGACCAAGAATGGGATCAACCTTGGAATTGGAGTGAATCAGGCTGGTACTCATCTCATGAGACATCCAGCACAGGACAAGCAATGATGGCATTCCACGACGCGAGCATCATGAATGAGAAAGAGGCCGTCCACGAGAAGCTGGTCCAGTCAGACACAGTTTCAGAACACAACTCACAGCCTTTCGGCAACAAAGCTGATGGCACCTGTCATCAACCCTCAACACAATCCGACCTATGCGATCCTGGACAACGGTTGTACCAGATCCATGGGCAGCTGGCATGCAATCCAGCGTTTACTCAGGCCACCGAACCCATGAAAGACCTCATCTCCTACCAGTGCATCCCGGAACTTCACTTTTGCCAATGGAACGACAGCCAAGGTGAATTGGACCTTGCATCTCAGAGATCACACGACACCTCCATGCAATACCAACTCGGAACGCGACTCACCAAGGTCAACATGACAAAGGTCAGAAAGGATGAAACCATCCCAATTGAAAAAACATGGAACTGATTTTCTTTTACCAGATGAAGGAGCATCATTGCAGAAGGAACAAGGCGGAAGACCTCACATCCATTCCTGAACAAGCACATCGGAACTGTGTACGCAAAGGACAGATCCACGTTCTTGAGATTTCTGCAGGTAGTGCCAGATTCTGTCAATGCTGCGCACTTACGGGTTTACTCCCATTGACATCCGTACAGGATTTGACGTAATGACATCGAAGGGACGACACATGGTCATGGGGATCATTAAGGAGATCCTCATGGCAACAGTCTGTGGACCATAGTCAAATATGCAGAACATCCAAAAAGAAGGTCTGGGAAAAGCGACAGCGCTATATGCCGATGGTTGAGTTCGTGACATCCATTGCGCGGTATCAGTTGAAGCACCGAAGCAACTTCACAACAAGCGCAACGCAACTACGAGGTGGACTATGACATAAGCATGCTCACTGGGATCTACAGCCTGAGGAACAACTACAGTTGGAACTACCACATGCCTCTGCTGCTCAACCACCGCGGCCAACTACACGACTTTCAGTACAAAGCAATCACTACCATTCTCCACAAAAGCGCACGCTACAACGGCTTCACACTGCTCACCATGACCACCACAACGACCCCAACTCCACAACTACCTTCGGTCTAACAACCTACAACTGGCAGAGAATCGACTACGTGGAGCGCCTGAAACTACTTCAACAACTACTTCGTTACACACTACTTCAGCACGCTGGATGACAGGCTGAAGTTGGTGCGCGACTACAGGCTTCATCACTGGCAGCAGCATGCCTGAATGCTACCTGCTGGACTACATTTTCTGAGTAGCTGAGAATACTGAGGGTTAACTAGGACCCTGTGCAGCAACTACACCTTTTCGCCTTTGAGGGTTAGATGAACTACAGCCAGCAGCGTTGTAGTAGAACTACCTTTGGTCATTTTGCAGAACAGAAAACTACATCTCAGTTCCTTTTCAATTCCCCCTTTCAACTACGGTTGCACTTGCAGGTTGCACAACTGAGGGCGTGTTAAACTACAGTGAATGCATGATACAGTTGCATGTGCGCTACACTGATGGTTGATACATACCGCAGGCCTTGAGCCTAGCTTGAACTACATCTGGAGAAAACAAGAGCTGCGGCAGACTACATTTGCTTTTGATAACAACTGCACAGCATTTGCACTTGTATTTTAACGAGAGAGTGTGAGAAAGACAAATATCACGCTGCACTACTTGTCCCTTGTGCATGCATGATGTACACTACCCGACCG